AGATACTCCATATGTGTCGAGAAGCTTTATCTTATAGGCATTCTAGCTAATACATTGAAAAACTTTAAATGGACCATCAACCTTAGGTTGTAATTTGCCAAACTTACCTTGTGGAAACCTTTCTTTATGCAAGTAATCCCACACCAAATCATGTTTTTGAATTTCACATGCCTTCGATGCATGATTATTACCTTTTTATATTTCTCATTTTTTTGTAAAATTCTAATTTTAACTTGTTCATACAATCATTGATACCTTTAGCCATTTCCTCTACACCTTCATTAAATTGTTGATTAGTAGGGAAAAGAACTAAATCTAGAGAATTGATTGGATTCTTACCATATACCACCTTAAAAGGCTGCAAGCAGTAGTTTGGTTTGGTGAGCGATTGTAAGCAAATTTTATTGAGGTAAAACAAGATCTCACTGCTTGATATTCTTTCCTATGGAAAAAAGAACCAAATACCTCTTACTGACCTTGATTTTATTCTTTTTTGTAGCCAAGATAGCTTATATGGTTGGGGGTGATTCATTGTTTTGAGGCCTAATATTTGCACCATAAAAGTGGAAATAATGTTTCAAAACTTTCACTATCAATTATAACATCACATACCTTATCATGAGCAGTGCTTTTAGTGTAGAAATTTATTCTTGTGCAATCAATCTTTCTTCCTTTACATGCACATCACTCACATTGTATTATATAACAAGTGAGGATTCAAGATCACCATAGTTCCTTAACACCTTATTCAAGATCCTTGGACTTCAATAGGTTCTCCTTCAGCATCTTTAAGATCATGTTCAACCAATGTAACTATGTTGAGATTTGACACTTAGAATATATATGCCCAACTCTTTGGCACTTGAAGCCTCTTTAGGTTGAGTGTTGATAGTACTATGTTATGGTTTGTAGGGAATGGGTCATTCCTTCTTTAAAGGTAGATTTGAAAGGGGGTTTGTAGAAACATTGGTTTTAAACCTACTTCCCTTGTTAATGTATTTTTCCACCAAAAGATCCCTTTGTTTCAAGTTAAGGAGACTTGCCAGAAGTTGTCTGAAAGATACTTCGTCTTCAACTCTCTTTTCATCTTTTCCCAAGTTGTAATTTTTTCTTGCCTTCTCTTTCCCTTTGTTTTTTCAAAATTTTCCACCAAAAGAATGTATGCTTTCTAAGTTTGATGGCCGTTAACTTCACCTTACGATATTTAAGGGCACATGGTATTCAAATATATGTTTCATCATGTGTAGCCAATCTAAGAATTCTTCAGGTTGCATCTTTCCCTCGAACTCAAGAATTTCTATCTTCGGATTGAATATGCTAGGTTGAAGTTGGTTTCTATATAGATGGTCTCTAACTTATCGTGGGTGAGATATGGTGTTGTTATCAGATGGAATGGATTGGTTTCTCTTTCATGTTCTTCGTTCCTCTTTCGTTGCCTCTTTATCTCCTCTCTTTTTTCTTGCATATGCAATTGATGTTGTAGTTGAAGGATCTATTGTCGCATTTCTTTTATAAGGGCATCCCTTGGGTCAACATTGGTAGTTGCTGCAACATCAATATTGGCTTCAACCTCTACTACTGGTGCTCGATGACGACGACCTATCATAGCTCTTATATCAATTTAATGCCAAAAATTGATGTTTGAGATGTGAGGATTAATTGTAAACAGAAAAACTCACAAAAAAAGATAACTCACAAGAATTTAAATAATGGCAAAATATGATTATTGGATTATAAGGGATAAAAGTTCACCACCAAGACTAGAAACTAAGACATACAGAAACACCACCCTAAGAATTCTAATCAAGGATACAAAATAATAGAAGTTCACCATTCTAGGAAATCCACTTAAGAGATACAAAATTTGAAAAACAACCTAAAAGATAGCTTAAGGATAAAGAAAACTCTATTTTACCTTATCCCAAATAATAATAGAAAATATATAAGCTAAGAACATCTCTCAAAGAATGGAAACTTTCAGATTGCATTGCTAAAATCGTGCCTAAAATCATGAGATTTGCATGTGAATATAATCTACCCATTTACTCTTGCAGATTACATGATAATGAATCTGACCACAATCCCATCCATATTCATGCTTTTCTTTTCCAGCTAGTGAGAACACAATCTCCTTATTCCAGCCCACCTTATTTATGCATTTATTTAGTGAATTTGGACCAAAGATAAACCCATCTTATTTTTGGATAAGTTTGCTTTAGTCTCAATCTAAGTTGTATGATGTACAAACACTCCGGTGTCAATATATATATGTACATTTGATGTTGTCGTAATTTGGTAGTGATTATAGCCTTTAAAATTGGTAATTTATACACTTTTGATTTTCAGGTCCATTAGGGTTAACTCCTTAGGGTAGATTTAGTTATGGTTATTTTGATAATAAAAATTCAAGGCTTTTAAATAATCTTGTTCTGAATCACAGTAATCCATCATTGTTAAAAATTCTTAAAAATACACAAAATAAAAGTAATAAATTTAGATAAATATGAAGAACCCAAATCTTAGCACAATTAAATACAAAAAATTGCCAAAGTTGCAAAATGCAAGGTCCATTTGAACCATGTGAAAAGTTGGTGGGAAGAGGAACAAGATGCAAACACTCACATGGAAATTAACGCCTTCTAACATGATCGATTATCTTCAACGATATTAATTCATAATTTAAACCATACAGCTCCATTCCACCATTTCTTATTGGTAAATGATATCTTTAAAAAGGAAAAAAAATCATAGAGGTTTGCTCATAAAGTCAATCCACTACAATTATTCCAATAAAAAATCTTCATCTTAAGTTCCCAAAGTTTTCAAACAAACTATGATAGAATGGATTTTCACAATTACCCATCCATATCATTTCATGAATTCAAAATCTGACCACAATCCCATCCATATTCATGCTTTTCTTTTCTAGCTTGTGAGAACACAATCTCCTTATTCCAACCCACCTTATTTATGCATTTATTTAGTGAATTTGGACTAAAGATAGACTCATCTTATTTTTGGATAAGTTTGCTTTAGTCTCAGTCTAAATTGTATGATGTACAGACACTTTGGTGTCAATATATATATGTACATTTGATGTTGTCGTAATTTGGCAGTGATTATAGACTTTAAAATTGGTACTTTATACACTTTTGATTTTCAGGTCCATTAGGGTTAACTCCTTAGGGTAGATTTAGTTATGGTTATTTTGATAATAAAAATCCAAGGCTTTTAAATAATCTTGTTCTGAATCACAGTAATCCATCATTGTTAAAAATCCTTAAAAAATACACAAAATAAAAGTAATAGATTTAGATAAATCTGAAAAAACCCAAATCTTATCACAATTAAATACAAAAAATTGCCAAAGTTGCAAAATGCAAGGTCCAGTTGAACCATGTGAAGAGTTGGTGGGAAGAGGAACAAGATGCAAACACTAACATGGAAATTAACGTCTTCCAACATGATTGATTATCTTCAATGATATTAATTCATAATTTAAACCATACAGCTCCATTCCACCATTTTTTATTGGTAAATGATATCTTTAAAAAGGAAAAAAAAAAATCAGAGAGGTTTGCTCATAAAGTCAATCCACTACAATTATTCCAATAAAAAATCTTCATCTTAAGTTCCTAAAGTTTTCAAACAAACTATGATAGAATGGATTGTCACAATTACCCATCCATATCATTTCATGAATTCGAAATTTTCATTTCATAATTCAGAGGCCAATGGATATTTTTTTAGGGCAAATTAAACTTGATTTTGACTTCTTCTTTTCTTAAAGCAATATTAATTACATATACTGATGCACATATATCCAGAGATACATGCATATATACACGATTTGAATTTGGGTCCAAACTCATTTAACAATAATCAATTTTATTTTGTTTCTTTTATACACTTAACTATTAAGGAAATAATATATTTCCTCCATCTTTTTTTTAGTATTTCAATTTTTTATGATTTATTATTTTTTATATAAAAATATGAAACATAAAATTTATAAAAAACTAAAAGATAATATTATATATACTAAATCAATTTTCTTAAAATTCATAAAAATCAATGAAAGATTTACAATTTAAGACTTAGAGAGATTTTTATTTCATTGCATATTAATTTTACTCAAATTTGTTAATGATATTCAATTATTTATTTATAAATTAACAAAACTGAGATTGAGTTGTATGTAGACTAGAACAATAGCAGTTGGAGTGATATAATATATATATATATATATAGAGAGAGAGAGAGAGAGAAAGAGAGAGAGAGAGAGGATCAATCAATTGATTTTAATAGATCTTAAAATCTAAAAAAAAAAAGAAAAATAAATAAAAAATAATTTAATCACATAATCAATAATTAAAAAAATGTAAAACTTTTTAAATTTCCATTATGTAAATTAATTCCTACTTATTTATATATATATATATATATATATATATATATATATCTAAAAGTCGCCATCCCAAGTTCCCAACTGCCTTAGTTTGCAACTGCTGATCAGAACTACCATCATAATCAAAATCTCTGCCTCTGTTGAACCAATTTCAGCCTTGACTTATACTGGGCCATCGCTTTTCCTTTAAATATTAGTTGAAATTGAAATCTTCTTCTGTCTACATTAAAGTTATTACCTTTTTTTTTTTGGCCAAAAGTCAGCATAAATATATACAAATGGCACAATTATACATCATAATAATAAATATAATTAGTTTTGATTCTTATGCACACGCATTATCTAATTCTTTCGTCAAGTTGATCCGTTCTTGTTGCTACCTTCCTTAGATATATATTTTTTTATAACGTTTGATGGTGCATTTCATTTAAATTTGTTTATTACAAATTTATAATTTTTTAATTATTATAGAAAATTATATAAAATTTATCAGTTACAAATATGAATTTCATATAATTTTATATTATAATTAATTAATTATAATATAATGATACTCGCTTAATCGTGAAACCCATAGATTAAGGAACTGATCATGGAAAGTCACATATCCCCACCGTCCACCAAAATATTTATTGTGTGCAACGCGTCTTAGAAGAGTTAATTAATTTCCTAATTTTGGCCACCATCTATCACTTATAAATAGACCCATCACACAAAATCCTTTCATCGCCTCACATTCCTTTATCAAACATTGCCACATATTTTTCCTCTACTCTCTTTCTATATATATATATAGTCTTCTTTAAGCATATAGACTCAACCAACAACCACCCCAAATGGCTTAGAAGCACCACCGCCACTTGTTCAACCATCACAAGGACGAAGAAAAGCCTGTTGACACCCCTGTCTACTCTGAAACGACCGTCTACTCTGAAACTGCTTACTCTGGTGAAACCACAGCTGGTGGTTATGAAGCTGGCCTGGCTAAAACCGAAGAGGATTACAAGAAGGAAGAGAAGCACCATAAGCACCTTGAGCACCTTGGCGAGCTAGGGGCTGCCGCAGCTACTGCTTATTCAGTGGTAATGTTTCCCCACAAGTTAATTTTTTTTCTAAGCTCATATATACCAAAGAGTATTACGACTCGGACAAAAAATCTTAATTATCGTTTTAAAGAACATTTTCCCTTTATCATTGGGTGATAATCAGTACAAAAAAAAAAAAAAAAAAAAAAAAACCTACCCTTTTCTTCATATTTAGCTTTTTTATTTTATTTACTTTTAAATTTATAATTAATCACATGCGATTATTTCAGCATGAGAAGCATAAGGCAAAGAAAGATCCGGAGCATGCGCACAGGCACAAGATAGAAGAGGAGATAGGAGCGGCGGTGGCAGTGGGAGCCGGAGGGTTTGCATTCCACGAGCATCATGAGAAGAAAGCAGCAAAGAAAGAAGAAGAGAAGGCTTATGGAAAGAAACACCATCACCTCTTCTGATTCTAATTAATTACTATGTGCTTTTATCCTTTAATAATAATAATTTTATTCTTCTATATGTTTGTCAAGAGTGAGCAGACCTAAATAACCTGAATTATTCAGTGCCTTTTTATTTTCTTATTTGGTGAATTTGTTATCATGTGTCCCTGTTAGGTCATGCCGTCTGGCTTAAATATCCACTGTTTACAGTGATATTTTAAGATGTGTTTTTGTTATATTTATAATAATATATGATCAGTATGATCTTTTATATAAGTTAATTATTAATTTATAATTTTATTTGGTTTTTACTAGAGGAACTTATTTGTTAAAAAAATCGTAATCCAAGTACTTGATTGAGTTGATAGATTCAAGGTCAGTCTTCTTGTTCTTGTGCAAATATGTAATTTATCCATATCCTGGGCATCTATCTGCCTTTTGCCGTCTGAGTATGCATATATTTATAACATAAGAATTATAAATTTTCATTACTTTTTTATTATTAATGATTGATAAAAAGATAGGTGAAGATGATGAAGTTTGTCTCAAGATTGTATGTACTAGATTAAAATTTTTGCAGCAAACATAAATGTAGACGATTTATTTTGTCCAAAAATTTATCAGAATTAAAATGAATTTTGATTATCAATTAAATTTTAATATAAAGTTTTGGATCCAGTAATTAAAAGCTGAAATAAACTTTTTAAGTTTTGATTTAGTTTTAGTTTTAATTTCATTTTTGGTAAAAAAAAGTACAAAAAATATCAAAATTTGAATATCTCAATTCGAAGAATCAAAGATCTGATTTTTTTATTTAATGATTGAATGATCTTTTAGATTTTTTTATCTTAATTTTCATGAAAATGGGAAAATGCTTAAAATCATATCACAATCAAATCACAGATTTGATTGAATTTTTTTTCTAAATTTAAAGGGATTGAATCCCTATATTAAGCATACACAGCCAGAGGGGGAATACATAGAGAAAATCAGACAGAAAATACAAAGGAGAATCAAGCAAAACTCAACTCCAACTCCATTTCCTAGCTAATTCACTATTGCCTAAGGCCACCCATCAGCCAAAATCCCAGCATATATCTCGACTAAGCCTCCACATCCGACACCTAATCACCGTCATCGTCACAGCAGAGTACCACCAAGCCTCCTTTGTCTCCTCCCCCATTAACCAGTCCTTACACAGCCACTGAAATCATCCTGAGCAACCATCAGCAAATTCAAGCCACCTTGAACCAAAACAGAACCTAGAAACACACGCTAACCCAACAGGGAATAGCCATAATCACAATACACCTATACCCACCCTAGAACCGAGCTCACAAACAACCCAATTTTAGGAAGCCAATACCCAGAAAATCCATACCCAGCCACCATCATGCCATAAACCTACAAACAATCTCAATAAACACCCACAAACACTAGATTAAAACCCGACAGATCAAACCACCAACTTCCACTTAAGCCAACCTTGCCATTGTCCTTAATCTCTCACGAAACTATCAACTCCTGTAAATAAACCAAAAACAAAATCAGAAATAAAAGACGACCAGAAGCAAAGAAGCAATTTTTTATGGGTTTCAATTTGGGTTTCTTTTAAGGTGTTTTGAGTCCCTAAATTCGGTGAAAAGGTAGTCAAGAGTAAGGGTAGAAATTTATCTCAGAGCGGTGGTGACCGACACAACAGAGAAGGAGGTTCTTATGGTTGAACCTGTTGTCTTTCAGGCTAGATCTACACAAATTTAATGAGTTTTTAAAGAAATCAACTGGTCCACATGAAAGAAGAGATAAAAATGAAGCTTGTGGTGAAATTTGGGCGTTGGTGGTGGTCGGACAATGATGGAGTGTGGTGGTTGAAGGTGGCGACGTTAATCGAAAATGGTGGCCAAAAATCCTTAAGAGAGAATATCTGGAAATATGCAAAATAAGAGAGAGCAAGAGCCAAAAGAAAATGGAGAAAGAAACTATTTATTTTATTTTATATATATATATATATATATATATATGTCAAGGCTATTTCAAAACTCTTCATCACCACCAAAATTCCTATAGCCATATTTTTTCAATTGGTTTAGTATATTGTCTCGTGCTATATTCTTCTCCTTTTGAACGCCTTCAACAAACGATTCTCTATCCTTAACTGGAGGTAAATTTATTGAAAAAATTAAATTTATTTGATGTTTCAAGTATCTCTTTTAATTGAAGAACCTCCTAATAAATTTATTATCAAAATGTATTATAAGTACAAGTTACCAAAAAAAAACTTGATTATGAGATCATACGAGTAAGGCATTTAAATGAACCTAAAGTTAATCAAAAACAAGTTATCTCCTAAGAATTATTTTTTAATAGATATTTCTACTTGAAATAAAAAATAGTCATTTTTCAAATTCTCTTCATAAAAGAAAAAAAATATCCATTTGTTATCTCTTTTGAGCCTGTTGATTATTCTTTCTGAATGAATCTTAACTAAGAATCACCTTTTAAATTTAAGAGCAAATTAAAAAAAAAAAAGAAAATTTTATCAAGTTGGCATGTGATCTTGTGTAGAGGGTTAGAAAATAATACCTTATGTTAAAGGGGAGAGTTTGAAAAAAAAATGAGTTCCAAAATTTTGCATTCATACAAAAAAAAGGAAAAAAAAAAAAAGGTGAAAGGTGAAAATGCATGTTTTGAGAAAAAGCAATATGTCCCTAGAAAAAATGATCATTGGTTTGATCACTTTTAAATACATTTTTGGGTCTATTTATCCTTTCTTTCAAAACATTAAATCCTGGCTTATGTTATGTCCTTTAAAATATCCATTTTGATCATATATGGATACCTAAGTTGAAAGCTTGTTCCTTAGGAAATCATTATAATTTGATTTTAGACAAATTTTGAATGCTTAAATGCATAATGGAATAATAAAAAGAAAGGAAAAAAAATAAAAGAAAAAGGTGAAGCTCTAAGGTGAAAACCCAAAAAAGTAATCTAGAGTAAGATTGAAAAAACAACTCATGACTTTTCATGCAGCACCAAAAAGGCATTTTGAGGGGACATTGTAAACTTTTCTTTAAAAGTCCAAGAAGATCAATCTCACTATAAAGATCCCTCTAAAATTTAGGCCTTATTCCTTTTTCAAACCTGAAATTTTAAGCCTACCATAGTTGGTTTTAACATTTATTAAAATACTACATATCAAGAACTAAAAGGATTGCCAAAATAAATTGCACTTTAAAAGGCAATTTTCATTTGTAAGCTCAGATGAAAAGATGTTCCTGTTCTTATTCAATGGCCAAATTCCTTTGATGACTAAAATCCTTCATAATGTGCCAAACCATTGCATCATTTTGGAAAGACCAAGTTGTGATTCAGCATCTTCATTCTAGGTAATAATCATCAATTTTTTAAGAGATTTGATCATATGCAGAAAAGAGTTGTGTAGGGTAATTTCCATTGCTATTCTTAGGAAGTTTTAATAAATGTTCAAAATGTATTGAATTTTAATACTTCTGATGAGAGATAAATGAATGCTATAATAGATCTTTCTAGGGTAAGAAAATGCCAAATGCAAAGGATTGATATGAAACAACTCATTAGACAAGAAGAATGGTTTTCAAGAATAAAAATGTTGAGAATGTTTGCAATAGTGCTTGAAAAAACTTATCAACTAATTCAGAGGTTATGTTATGGAAAGATGGAATCAAGAAAAGTTTCGAGAATCCTATTACCATAATTAAGGATATTTGGTATAGAATTCATGCATCGCATTTATTACATGTCATGCATTGTATGCATCACATCTGTTTCATATGTTGCATTCATAGTTTTCAGGGGAAAGAGAAGTTGACTTAAATTTTTTATAAAAAAAAGAAAACTTTGATCAAAAAAGATTTTACCTCAGATTATATTTGTTAAAACTTTTGAGTATCAGTCTTAAAAACTTATGAGTAATTCTTTTTAAAATCTCTGGATATATTTTCAAAACTATTAAACTTTTTTTAAAGTCTTTCAGACAAGATCTATAAGGCCTCCAGGCATGATCTTTAAAACCTCTAAATATCCATCTTTTTAAAAATAGTTGAACATTTTGTTTTAAATAAGCTCTTTTGAAGTTTGATTTACAAGACCTTGGACATAATCACCAAGTCCTCCAAATAAGATTCATAAGTCTTCTAAGCTGAATTTGTTTTAGAGTAGAGATTTGTAAGACTCCCAAAATAATCACCAAGTTCTCTGGATAAGATTCGTAAGTTTTTCGAGCTAAATTTGTTTTAGAGTTAAGATTTGTAAGACCTTCGAGTATAATCTCCAAGTCCTCTAAGTAAGATTTGTTAGTCTTTTGAGTTGAATCTGTTTTAGAGTCGAGATTTGTAAAACCTCCAGGTATAATCTCCAAGTCCTTTGGGCAATATTCGTAAGTTTTTCAAGTTAAATTTTTTTTAGAGTAGAGATTTGTAAAACTTCTGCTCATAGCAAGATTCGTAAGTCTTTCAAGCTAAATTTATTTTAGAGTTGAGATTTGTAAGACCTTTAGGCCTAATCTCTAAGTCCTCCGAGCATGATTTATAAGACCTTTGAGCATTATCTTTTAAAACCTTCAAGTAAATTTTTTTAAAAAGGTTGTGGAGCCTTTGTTTAAAAAAGGATTTTTCAATGAATGATTTGTAAGACCTCCGGACTTAATCTTCAAGTTCTTTGAATGCGATCTACAAAAAGCTAGGCATGATTATCAAAACTGTCAGGTGTTTTCCTTATTTTTTTTTTTAAGAAGTTGTGTGCCTTTGTATTTGAATTACCTTTCAAAAAAATGAAAAAAGGAAAAAACATTGAATAATTTGGACCCAAACGTAATAGGTATCTATATCTTTGCACAGTTCTTGTTTCACAAAAAATGCATAAAGAGGGATAAATGCAAACATCTCATTTTATCTAGGGATTTATTGGAATTAAAATGGGCTTCAATTGTCAATTGGACCTTAATGCAAAATTTTGGACCTAGGATTAAAAGCCCTAACCAATTTTTTAAGTTTTGATTTAACTTTAATCTTAATTTTTTTTTTGGTTTAATTTTTTTTCTGGTCAAAGAAAAAGTACAAAAAATGTCAGAAATAGAAAAAATGTGGGAATTTGATGATCTTAATTCGAAGAATAAAAAATTCAATTTTATGGTTTAATGGTTGAATATTTGAATTATGAAAATCCAAGATCCAATTTTATGGTTTAATGATTGAATGATTTTGAGGATTTCTTTGATCCCAATCTTCATGAAAATGGAAAAATGCATAAA